TATTTGAGCCAACATGTCATGTGGTCTGGTAAAGGCTCTTGTATAGCCCGAGACACGTGTTTCGTCCTTACAGACTCATCAGCCGGGCAGAACCCGTCGTCTGTCGATCTTTTCATAGTCAGTTCTCTCGGGAGCGTCAAACTCCTTATATATAGTTATCGACGAACTACGCTTTACACTCTATGTCAGGTGAAACATTCACCTAACACAGAGTGTTTTCAAATAATAATGAAAGGATCTATTGAAATTTGAGCGTGGTCTTAATAAAGCACTCGAAGGAAAGGTATAATATGATAAAAATACCAGCCAGCTAGCAATCGAGTGCGAAAACACTCTGTGTTAGGTGAATGTTTCACCTGACATAGAGTGTAAAGCGTAGGTCGTCGATAACTATATATAAGGAGTGTGACGCTCCCGAGAGAACTGACTATGAAAAGATCGACAGACGACGGGCTCTGCCCGGCTGATGAGTCCGTAAGGACGAAACACGTGTCTCGGGCTGTACAAGAGCCTTTACCAGACCACATGACATGTTGGCTCAAATAATAATGAAAGTACTGACATACTCTTTTTGGACAATGTTTCTCTCAAAATGAACGCTAGCACTAGCTCAAGTGCATTATTGATGGTTCAGCTTCAGATAAGAATATCGAACGCTACAGACTCTTTTGATGGAAAAAAAGTCATTGGTGTAGAACACCTCTTAACAGTCAAAAAAACCGCTGTGCACCTTGAACTATTGTGGAGGTAATTCAATCAGGATATCTCTCATGTTCACGTGTATGGAGAAAAGTAATCCCTTTGCTATAAGTAAGGAACGAAAGCAACAAATCAGAAACTCAGATAATTCGCAGCACGTTACTACGCTACTCGCACACCTCAAACTGCTTATGTACCTTCGAAAATCTGTCAACTCTCAAATGGATTCAACTCGATATCACACGCACACGTCGCACCGGGAAAACGACCACATGTAAGGTATCGACTCGGATAAACCTGACTTTTGATGGAGGTAAAGAAAGCCGATAAATTAGTCGGATGAAAAGTTGTTTAATCAACCTTGTGCCAGCTCAATTATAAAAAGGTACTCATCGAAAAGCAATATAAATTTTTAACTTTAGAAAATTGAACTACGGAAAACGTTTCCTATCCATTCACGTTACTTCCGCTTTTCGTGTTGAGTATATATTGCGCTCAACATATTCCACGTGGTGAGAATGTTATAATATGCACAATTGAAAACTCGTTAGAATGCGCCAATCGAGGCTCTCCTAATGCGTGATAACTCCGTTTTTGTTCCACTTCTTTCGTTCATGGGATCCGAAAAATAGAACGTGTCTTAATAATCAGCTCACCGAGCCGTTTTTCTAGTTCACCTGTATCACCTGCCGTCCCGTTGATCGTCGAGTGACTCGAGCGGGTACCAGCAATTCCTCCATTTTTCCCTATCGCGTGCAAGAGTAGCCCAGTGGGTCCTCCTCGCTCTAGGGATTTGGCTGTATCATATATTTCTCTATCGCTTTCGTGAAGAAATCGGACCAACGGGTCGGTGGTCTTCCTTCAGAGCGCTTGATGTCCCGAGGAATTCAGTCGGTGACGGCTCTCGTCCATCGGTTGTCGTTGAAGCGCATCACGTGTCCGGCCCACCTTATATTCGATATCCTGGCGTGTTAAACGGCGTCTCTGATTTTCGATCGTTGACGTAGGTCGGAACTTTGGATCCTTTGTCTCATTTGCGAAATACGGGATACTCCTAGCATCAACCTTTCGACTGCGCGTTCGATAACGCCAAGTGATTTTTCATCCTGCTTACACAGCGACCAGGTTTCTACTGCATACGTTAGGGCAGGGATAATTGTCGAGTCGAAAAGGTGGGCACGGAGTCGGACGTTCTTTGTCTTCTTCACTACGTCTTCGATGCTTTTAAACGTTCCCCAAGCCGCTCGTTTCCTTCTGCTCAACTCTGGAGCTAGGTCGTTCATCATGTTGATTTTGCGACCAAGATAGACGTATCTGGAGCATTCAGAGTTTGTCGTTTCGTTGAGCGTGAATGGGGCATTCGGAACCCATCCGTTCCTCATGAACATCGTTTTCGTCAGATTTAGTTGAAGCCCAATCTTTCCACAGGCGTTATCGAAATCGGTCAACATTCTTTCCGCTTGGCTGATGTTTGGTATTATGAGAACAATATCGCCAGTAAAGCGAAGATCGTTTGATTGTCGACGGTAAATTTTCACTCCCATATCGTCCCATTCTAATGTGCGCATAACGTTTCGTAGGGTGGCAGTGAATAGTTTTGGCGAAATTGCATCGCCTTGTCGAAGCCCTCTTCTTACGTCAATGGTGATATTGTTGTAGAATGGAAATATTTTGGTCGTGAAATTTTTATAAAGCTGGCGAAGGATCATTATATACCGAGTAGGGATGCCCTCGTTATCCAGAGCCTCTATAACCGCTTCTGTTTTCACTGAATTAAAGGCTTTATTCAGATCGATGAAGGTGAGACAGAGTGGCTGTTTGTACTCTCGTGAAACTTCAATGCGTCTTGTAATCGTGTGGATGTAGTCTATGGTACTAAATCCTTTTTGGAACCCTGCTTGTTCGTATGGCTGTCCTTCGTCCAGTGTTCTCTCAATCCTGTTTATGATGACTCGAGTAAAGAGTCTATAGACAACGGGCAGCAAGTAGATTGGGCGATAATTGCCTTTGTCGTGAAGGTCTCCCTTTTTGAACGACAATACGGTCTTGCTTGTTTTCCATTGAATAGGGACCTTGCATTCTGACAGATAGCGAGTGAAAAGCCGAGTCAGGGTGTTGATGAGAATTGGCGGCAGGTTTTTCAGGTGTTTTGGTCTAATCCTGTTTGGACCGAGTGTTGTTCTGTTTTTCAGCGACGATATAGTATGTCAAATTTCGGAAGGGTGGACCGGTGGAACGACATGTTCATCCTCTTTCAATTTATATGACGGTAAGAGGACATTGCTAGCAAAGAGATCCGAGTAATATTGGTGAATGATTTTCTCCATAGCTCTTCTGGAGGCTGTAAGTGCCCCGTCAGGGTATCGGTATAACTTTTCGAGTTACACCAAAAATATGCCCTAAACGCGTGGATATTGGCTCCAAACGAAAGCAAAAAACACTTTAGGAGAAATTTTTCTGTTGTTGTTCACTCCAATATTATCACGCGCTCTAAAACGTCTCATCCATGTCATCCGTACTGGGCAAGATAATGGTTAGCATGCAATACACACAGCATGACTCGTCATCTTAGTTTACTGTCCGGATCTCAGCGATTCTTGTCTTCAATTCGTTTCCTCGTATTTATTCTCAACAAAAATTTTGGAATAGTTCACTTGTCACTTCAATTTTTGCTCGAGGTTTTCCTCTTAATATAGTAGAATACTAGTCGAGACGTCTCTCCTCGTCTTAAGGAAATTAGCATGAGACTATCGGGAATAAAACGAAACAAACACTTTGCTTATCACTTTGCTTTCTGATATACCACATAACTAACCACTGGTTACGTCGTCCCTCGTCATGCATTCACTGCATTGGACTGTGGAAAACGCTCCTTAAGACCCGTTGAAAAGTCAAAGTTTCTATACAAATCCAATTATAAACTATAATTATTACTGTTCAAAATAAAGGTCATCATTAACCCAACGATCTTCTGACAACGAATTGCAAGTCACTGGAGCTGCTCGAAATACCGTTTCTTGAGCTTTGAATCAAAAAACTCCTGACATGCCTCTTCAGCTTGATCAAATGTCTCGGATCGGCGTCCATACGGGAAATGTTCCATTGAGCGAAAATTGGACCATAATCGGAAGGCGCAGTATCTGGTTTGTAGGCTGAGTGCGGCAAGACCTCGCTTTATTCAATTTGTCAGAGATTTCCTAAGTCTTCTTAACGGTGTGAGGTTTGGTACTGTCATGCTGAAACAGCGTACGGTTTGCGATCAGCCAGTGTCGGGTACTTTTCCTTGAACACATCTAGACTCTTATTTCTGGTTTTTATGGAAGTATTCCTGAGATATTCCCATGAATTCACAGGAACCGATACTGTATGTAACAGATACAGATCAAAAATTCTCGCGAGTGTTAAGAAGCTTCTTCATCAACCTGTTAATGTATATTCTCAAAAGTGAAGCAGCCCTAACTCGTTTTAAAACCTTTTCTGCACAGTAACTCAGTTCACTTCGTGGAATGTTTGTGGATCATTTATGCTTCGTCAACCCATCCCGAGTGGTATTCTACTAAGACCACATGATTGTGGTCGTTCAAGTCTGCTTTGAATCATATCTATCACTCATTATTCTCGTACAATTATATACACAAATGTATGCTTATACGTACATTTACTTATGACGCTATGTTGCCCTCTTGTGATTTATATCGCTCGAGTAAAGTTTTATTACTCAAGTTTCAAGTACGGCGTAGCTGCAGCGATGTAACTTGTATCCTTTTTTCATCAGCAAAATAATCGCAATAAAAACCACGAGAATTCACATGTCATGCCCCACAACGAAGACGTTCTATTCCTCTGAACGAAATTTCGACCTTCTGCAGCTCATACTTCCTTCCCCTCAAGAGTCCCTATGTCAAATGCGAATAACTTATCCCAGTGTGAATTCGTTCAGTAAAGCACCACGGAGTTGTATGACGACCAAAACAACGATGCTGTTGGCTGCCAACGTCCATACTTAATTTTCAGAAAGTCCATTTTTCAAGCTTTTCCGAGGGCTTCAGTTATAAAAGATTACAGCAGTTACTAAAGAACCACCACCCTTTCGAATGTACTGAACAACCAAATTCAGCAAGAAATTGGCCGGAGAAGAAAAAACGAAGTTAAATGACATCCGCCCAAATCATCTGCAGGGTTTCCAATAGACGGCATGGTGTAAACGATCCTCATTGCATCACTGCTACACGAAACTTGGTTATAGTAAACTGTGGAGAGTACATATATAACTAAGAGAGTTGAGTGGTGAGCAAAAACACGGCCTCAGGTGGGAATCGAACCCGCCTATCATCTTTCATCCTATCCGGGTACGCGTGCTCTACCACTACACCACCGAGGCACATTTGCCCGACCACTCATTCTTCAACATCTCTATGTTAGCTATCAGCCACCAATCTTTAACAGGTTTGGTAGGATATGCGATTTCGCTTTATAAATCCCGTTAAGCTGACAGCCACTGTTATACATAATACTTCGAAATTATAATATTTCTACTGCTTTTTTCGCAGTGTTATTATGTTACTTATATAACTAAGAGATTGAGTGGTGAGCAAAAACACGGCCTCAGCTGGGAATTGAACCCGCGTTTCATCCTATCCGAGGACGCGTGCCCTACCAGGTAAAGAATGTGTGAATGAATGATGTTGAAGAATGAGTGGTCGGGCAAATGTGCCTCGGTGGTGTAGTGGTAGAGCACGCTTCCCCGAATAGGATGAAACGCGGGTTCGATTACCAGCTCAGGCCGTGTTTTTGCTCACCACTCAGTTCTCTTAGTTATATAAGTAGCATCAAAAAACTGCGAAAAAAGCAGTAGAGATACTATAATTCGATGTGAAGAATACACCCAAAGATATAGAGTGATGCGCAAGACGTCAGGCAGGACTCGAACTCACATCTTACTCTATCCAGGAGCGAAAGTGTGGTGTGCCAACTGGGTGTCAGAAGTGCAACAGGTTAGAGCACGCGCTCCGGTGAGATATGGGTTCTAGTACGACCTGACGCGAAAGTTTTGCTCAACACTCTACATTTCTGGGTATGTCTAAAAACGTCATACCACCGCTATAAGCAGTTGAATAAGAAAAAATTCATGTGAACAGTATACACGAAAATAAATCCAAAGAAATACCTTTATCAAAAAAGGAATAGAAAAAATTCTCAACTTGTTCGCATAACAACTATTAAAGGTTCCAATATATCTACGATCTAGAACGAAACGTTTTATTTACTAAGAATTAGCGACTATTCATCACGGGCGATGCCGACAATGGTCTTACATGTTAGCTTCCTCGCAAGCCTTCAGAGCTTCATCACGTTCGTCCTCAAGCTCCTTAACAAAAATTGGCGAGTTCTACAATATTCAGTATGATCTAGAAGATACGAACCTTTCGAGTCACAGCAATTTTTTCCTTAGCAAAATCGTCGAGAGAGAGACCTTGCACGATTTTCCATTCTTTGGTTGCGGCATCGATTGCTACCGGGAAGGAGAACACCAGTCCATTTGGAATACCATAAGAACCATCCGAGGGAACAGCCATAGACACCCACGAACCCTTCAAAGAAGAGTAGACAGTTGAGAAAAAACATGGAGTGTGCACAAGATCATTATTGTGCAGAGACCAACATATTGTAGAACTTACCGGTTTAGTACCAAAGTGCCAATCATGGATGTGGTCGCATGCCGCTTTTGCTGCAGACATTGCAGACGAGAGTTTACGCTTCTGGATGATCACAGCTCCTCGCTTTTGAATCGTCTGAAAAACGAACAGCAAAAACTATGGTTCTTTTGCCGTAACACAACCCACATATGCTCTGATAACTACATATCTAACAACGTTGAACGACATTCGAAACCCTGAGCCTCAGGCGGGAGTCGAACCCAAATCCCACCCTCTCCGGGAGCGCGCGCTAACCACTATACCAGCGAGCTCCTGCTCTACCATTTTTGCTTTTTACAATGACTAGCGGTGGCCTAGCGATGTATCGAGTCAACGCTCCTAGACAAGTAGCAATTCACCAACCCCAAATAGATGTAAGGCTTGATGAACCTTGACTAAGGGATCGAACCATCGACGACATGTGCGCAGTAGATCATCTCAACCAACAGCGTCGCAAGCACTCATGTGGAAGCATTAAGGAAAATTTGAGACAATTTCACTGTTTTGGACATGATAGCGAAGGATTGAAGGGTTAAGAGACCCAATTCTGGGAGAAATACGACAAAAACTCACTGAAATGAATGCACCCTGTAGATAGGCTGTGTCGTTGCAAGCAGTATACGCATCAACGTTGTTACCACCTGAACGATGAAGGAAAGTGATTGATTAAATTCCCCTTACAATTACAATATTGACCATCGAAGTACATAAAGAATTTACTCCATATTTTACGAATGGCTATTTCTTCATTCCTACCACGCCACATCGTGATTTAGATCATTATTTCACTAAGAAAGGGAAGAAACATCACGTGTTAACCCTTTGAAGACCATACAATAGATTTCATACCGAGTCGCGCGACGTCAAATCTCACTCAGTAATTGTGAAGACGGCGTCGCGTCTCGTGGGAAAGCAGGCAGACGGCCAGACATGCACGCATAGATGTGAAGTTGCCGCATGCTATCGGCTTTGCGACTGCCGCGCAATTGTCGGCACTACACCGCCCGTCTATCAACGGTGGTTCTCATAAGGTTTAAAAAACGTCTAATTTCTTTCGGTTATCTAGGGACAAATGAATGTTCGAGCCCATTTTCATAAGAATGAAATGAGAAAAATTTTCATAAGAGTGTTCATAACCATTCGAAAGCTTAGATCTCCGGCTAATGTGGTACGAGGCCGGTTCTCCAAAAACATTCATTTATAACGCTGTAAAATTCAAAATTAAATTAAGTTTACATCGGCCGCGCAATTCAACTGTTACTTCGTTGAGAGCACGAAAAGCACATGAATGTGCAGGGAAATTTTGTAGTACCAGATTTAGACGTTTAATCTCGCATTTCTTCCAGAGCGGAGAAACAATTCCTAATTGAACAACCTAAATTGCTTTTTATGCCACCCACGAATGCGCCAGTCGATCGATGGTTGCGCTGAAACGGTCATATCCGCCCTCTACCACCCCATAGAACAGCCAAAAAATAGAGTTTCGCGTATGTGAATAAATCTTATTTTCCCTACTGCTTTGCAGTGAAACGTTCTTTCCGCAACGTTCTTTCCAGAAAATGAGCGCAGCGTTGGAATCGGTAAATCTTAGGCTATCGAATGTTACTGATAGTCTAGAGGTAGAGCTCTATCTTGGAGAGCAACGCGTGTGTGAAGCACAAATTAATTCCTTCTGCTACAGTGTGACAAAAAGGTTTTTTTTTTCTTGATAAAATGGCCACGTACCGCGCTAGCCAGAGATCTAAGCTTTCGAATGATTACTAACAATCCTATGTAAAGTTTTTCTCAGCGATTGGGTCGTATATTCATTAACCCTTGGATGACCAAAAAGAACCAAGTTCCTAAGATTCAACTGTTAAATATCAAGAAAACAGGGTTAAAACCAGTTAATACATGATAGCCGATGCCGTAATAAGCCCACAGACAGATGTTAATACTGGTTTTCACAAGAGATCAAAAATTCCAACTAATCATCATGATCTTCGTGAATTTCTCACAGTTACAAGAATTCTTCTCACTTTAGCGCATAAGTAGCAGTATATGATGCTACAACTATGTATCCAAAAATGTTTAATGATACCGAAACCTCTGAACTCCGGCCGGGTGTTCATATCATGTCTAAACTTTCGTGTCAGCGCATGCTATTCCTTACATTACCGGGATTTCTCCCGCTACCATTCTTTCTGGGATGTCTCAGAAGTTCCTATAGGAAAACACCGATTATTTCGCAAATCCTAACACGTATAATTCAGAAACCGACCTACAATTAATCTCGGTATGCGCATTTGAGGATTTTTTTTTTTGAAAGTTTCTCAGTTACACGAGGTTGACAAAAAATTTGGTTCGGGTAGCGTTTCGTCGAGGTCCTTATCTAACTGAGATCCGATCGATCAGAGTGGATAGTCCACACTCGACCGTTCCGATCATCGACTTGGATCAATCAGCCTACTTTGTGAAGGAGGATTTCACAACTCATTATAAGGAAAACGCTGATTACCTCGAAAATTCTGATACGTCAAACCAAGATACCAAACGGCCTGAAGTGGCCTTTCTATAAGAGGTTTGTGCGAGGTTGGTATATCTCCCTCAAAATCAATGATTACCGTTTTGGCGATTTCGACTTCGTCAGAGTCGTTTAATGATTTGCATGGGAAAATCACCAATGTCACAACTCTATGAAAAATCTTTTTACAAAAAACTTCTCATTTTTTTCATAGTATGTGACGACATACCGGCGATTTTTTCCATATAAGATATAGAGCGGCCTGAAGAAGGCAATTTCGCCGATATTTTAGACATCGATTTCAAAGAAGATATATCAATCTTGGACAAGCTGTATATAAAAAGGAACAATTTGACCTCAGGCGGGAGTTGAACCAGCATTTCATCCTTACCGGGGACGCATGCTACCACTATACCACTAGGCACGATTGCGCCATCAGTCATTCTTCGATATCTCTACGATAGCTATAGCCACCATGTGGTAAGGTATGCGGTAAGGTATGCGATATAGCTTCATAAACTCACTTAAGCTGACAACCATTATGACATATAGTACTCTGAATTTGTAATGTTTTAGTGCATTTTTCGCAGTTTTATTATGTATATCACAGTGGCAGTCAACTTAACTGGGTTTATAGAGCGATATCCATACCCTACTACACTTGTTAGAGGTTGGTAGGTGATAGTTATCATAGAGATAGATAGATCATGAGTGGTGGCGCAAATGCGCCTTGATGGTGTAGTGGTAGGACTCCTTCCGATATAAATGAAACGCGTGTTCAACTTCCGTCTGAGGTCAAATTTTCGCTCACTACTCATTTCTCCTGGGTATATTAGAAACATCATAACACTGCGAAAAAAGCAGTAAAATCATTAACAATCTTAAGTAAAAAAAAACAGTTCTACCACGTATATTCCCTTAACTCTTGTATACACGAAGAGATAAAGGTACCTTTAGTAACAACGGCATGTTTAACGTCAGGGAATTGAGTGCTCGAGTGATTTCCCCAGATGATTACATTCTTCACATCACCGATTCCAACACCAGCTTTCATCGCCACCTGAAATCAACCGTTCACAATATAAAATATTAAGAGGACCTGAAGTCAAAGGTTTTTGAGAGGACAAAACTTCCTGTTACTGTGGACTTATGGACTTCATTATTTTTTTGAACCTAAGCCTA